TGGTGGTGTTGGGTTGACGGTTGGACTCGATGATCTTGGAGGTCTTTTCCAACCTCAATGATTCTATGATTCTATGATTCTATGTTCCCGCAACAGACAGAATTTGAAGCCACTATTAAAAAGATGTGTGATTAATCTTACATTTACTTTCATGTTTTCAGATATACTCAAGGACAAGAAAACCCATCCAGAAAACAGAAATGAACCAAAACCAACTGTGAAAAAGATTGACACCACAACCACCACAAGCACTGTCAAGTCATCCTCTAAACACAATGTAACTGGAAATGGGAGCAATCCAGCCCTGAGTTCCTCACTTGTTATTTTAACAGCACTAGCAGTTCTGTGGCATCGTCCACTGTAGCTGTATCGCCTTGCAGCCACTGCGCAAGTGTTTCTGCTCACTGTCATTTATACCTACAGCCTTACCCAACAGAAAACAAATTTAAATGGCTCTCTAGTTTATGTGATATGTTAGAATAAATATTAAACAATATGCTGGAGTTCACAGATACCAAGTGTCATCACTTACAATGTCTGAAGATAGCCTTTGACAAAGCCCACCCAAGATACAGAGGGAATGATGACAAGGATCTGAGTAGCTTAAGTTATGGGGTAGAAATAATTGAAAACACAGAAATTGTGTATGTGTGTGTTATTGTTTTTCTCAATTTTGTTCACTGGAATCTGACTGGTGGTTTTGTTTGTTTAATTTTTCTGATAAATTATATGAATAATCAATCTTCAAATTCAAGCCAATACATACTTCATTTTTCTAGTGAACAGCTAACAAGCTATGTCTACAGTTGTAAACCATGTTAAAGTGAAGTACTCTCTACCAGCTTGATGAAATTCCTAAGTGGTCAAGAAGATCGAAGCATGTTTGAAACTTCTTTTCACTCTTACTGTTTAGATTGTAGGAAGCAACATAAAAGCATATGGTGTGTCTAATATATCAGTATAGTTGCCTTAACTATGGAAAAAATTAGAACCATTTTGTTTACTGAGGGATATAGATAGTGAGTTTCCCTGCCCCACAAAATGCCATTACCAGATGTTTAAGCATATGCTCAAGGCTTATTGGGCAAAATGTCCAGCAACGGGAAACATAAATAAACATAACAATGTTTTGTCCAGTTGAATGCAGCTCTGTACAGAGAAAAAATGATAATTCAGTTCAAACTTACTTTGCCTATGTGATGTTAAAGAGAAACCAACTTATATTTTCCATAAAGGTCCCAGAGATATAAATTATTGGGAACTCCCATTAGACACTAACCAGATTTTGTGCATTGTGGATCTCTGAAATCAACTGTTTCATGAACTGTGTATTATTTAATTACATTTAATGTTTAGATTTTGTATCATGGTAGGTGTAAATGTAAAACAATCTGAAATCTAGAATATTCTCTGTTATGCCTCATCTTGACTGCTACCCTAGAAAATGTCAAAATGTGTGTTACATTACAAGGCTTTTTTTTAATCAATGATACATTGATGCGTTTTAACTTTTTGGATGAAAAAGTACTATAATAACTTCTAATGGGTTAAGAGTTAATGTGTATTTTCCAACAACTGTTTACAGTGCCATTGAATATATATACACAAACACAACTGTATGAATACAGTGATTAATGATAAATATATGAAACATTAGAATTGTTATATTTACTACATTTCATAACTGTTACAACAGTTTAATGGCCATTTTCATGTTGTAGACTATTATTATGTACATTTTTATAAGATTTAATGTAAAACACTTGCCTTTGTTTTTTTGTAAAACATCTCTCTGATACTTCAAGTTACACAGCCACTGACATAACTCAAAAGAAGAACCCTCTATCTTACTAATCAACTTCAGGCATTTTATTGGCAACTTTGATTATAAAGGACAGCCTGACTCAAAGAAAATGCCATGTGCCAGTATTACTACTGGATGTCATTATATAGAAAGTGGCAATAATACAGAACAAGCATACAGTAAGTGAACAAAGACTCACGACACTTGTATGTTTTCAGATAGTATTAGTGAACATGTCTAATTATGTTTGCAAAGGTGGTGCTTGAGTTTCATTTTTAATTTGGGCTCTTAGATCATATTTACAGACATAAAGGTATAATCAGAACCATCAACACACCCAGCTGCAAAGGCAGTGTCTCTAAAGTGGCAGCAGCTAAGTTTTCTAAAAGATAATTCAATTTTAATGTTGAAAAAGGAGATAAAATGGAAAAGAGACTTATACTAACATGAAATATTTTATATTTAAATTCTGATTTTTCAAAATGGTAAGGATATTAATATCCCTAAGTAGTGCTTTCCAATCATATCAGTGAAAATCAGTTTTCCCAAAAGTACTAAAATGGCTGTCCTGTGTTTTCCAGGGTTTTGAGCTGCACCAGTCTATTGAACCATAATTAAAAATGCCGCTTTTTGTATTCATTTGCAGTGCCCTTTGGAAAAGTGCACTTTTACCTGAGGAGGTGTGCAAGTCATGTCATTTGTACCGTGAAAGGACACCGTAATTCCTTGCAGTCTTAAAGGATCAGTTGTGATGGCTGCTGTTAGACGGGTTGGTCTCTGTGCATGCACAGAAATGTGCATCAGGTGCTAACGCTTACCACTAGCTCCTCAGGTAATACCAATCACTGTGGCTTCACTGAAGCAATTCATATCTGTTGCCTGTGAACCTGACCCCTAATTTAGTATTCTCACACTTAAGATGCTCAGTCATCATTCAGACAAATGCATCCACGTTTGCACACTTAAGTCTCCATCAGGATTTCTATGGATAGAGCTAGGGTTTCAGGGCTGGGCTCTGATGCTACCAGATTTCAGCTGTGCAGCTTGAGTTTTCAGTTCTTCGCACCTGCAGAAAGGGAGCTTGAATACTCAGACTTATGTGTCTTTTTGAGATCTTTTCTGTAAAAGGTTTTGTGCTTTTAGCTCAGAGCAGTGATCGAGCTAGCAGAGTATTCAGCCGTAGCAAGAGGAAGTTGCCAAAGCCCTGCTGTAGGCATGTATGGAATAACTCACCCGGGGGATTATTTGTTGTTGCTAAATGTCATAATCTTGCTAAACAAAAACCTCTGAAAAATCAAGTGTTTGAATTTTGGGTTTGGTTGGCAAATATTTGTATGATGTAGCATTCATCTCTCAAGCTAAACAAGACAACCCTTTTAAAGTTTCTGTAACAAAATTAGAACAAGTTCACACTGTGGAGTGAGATAGAATCAACTCATTCCATTGGATTCAACCAATATTTTAATAGACACAGATTCTTATGGAATGAGGGAAGAGACCTCAGAGGACTCCACACCTATTAATACATTTCACGCTAATATACTTTTACACTGTAAGAACAGTACTGGTCAAACCAGCATGAAATATGTTCATAATGTGCATCAAAAATGGTGCAGCTTTAAAGGGCAATACAGTGCATTTTTAATTGTGGTTTATGATTTTTTTTCTCAGGATCAGTTGCATTTACATATTAAAGAAAGAGTGTTTTCCATCAAACAACAAATCTGTACCAGCAAAAGTGAAAACAACTGGCTGGGGCAGGGGAAGGAAGGATTCTTT